TTTTAATGAAAAGAAGGCTATCAAATTTACTTGTAATAAACAAAATGGCCACTAAATTACTCTTCTGGTCCTCCTTCCTACATTTACCTAAAAATATACATATCGATATACAGGGGATAACTTCACAGCATAGTATGATTTTAATGTGTGCCGAAGTTTGCATAGGAAGAAATAACATGTAAACAGAGCCACGAGTTACAGGGCAGATCCAGCCAATAAATGTACATGGCCCGACGCAAAAATCTTACTCTGAAGGCTTTGCTATAGAGTCAGAGCTACAATTCTAATTTTCATGAGGGATGCCCCCATTTCACCCTCCAGATATAAACTATAAGTACTTTGCTTCAAAGAAACAAACAGAAAAAAGCAGAAAGAAAAAGACGAGATGCATCCAAATAAATCTTGACATTTAGAAACATATTTGACACTTGGGAGCTGAAAGAATAGCAAAAATAAAATCGCTGGTTTTAACGCAGCCGCATCAACACCGTATTTTGGCATTTCCAGGGAGATGCGGTTACTGGGGCTGCTTATAGGGATCCCTGCCTTCTGCTGTTCTGAGTGGCCATCCTAGAAGGCCACACTAACTGCTGGGTTGATTCAGAGCATCAACCCCCATCCCTCTCCAGGGAACTCTACTGCGGGGTGGTGGGCCAGGCACTTTCATCCAGACCCACGTGAATGAACCCCCCCTCCTGTCTGAATCCGCCAGTGCATTCCCAGCTGGCCAAGTGCGCTCCTGCTCTAAAACTGTCCAGTTTTCAGGACAACTGTATACCTCGCAACTCAAAAGAGTCCATGTGCGACTCTGAAATTTAATCACTGTGCTTCTCATCTGACTGTACAGATGAATCACAAAAACCTCTGCAGTAGCCACCTATGCTCTGGAGAAACCTGGAATTCACTCTGTCCAGCGCGTCGTGGAGAAAGTGTATGGCCCGGAGATAACAGGGTTAAACCAGCTTCTACGCAATAAGAAGTAGCCAAGATAGGGAATGGTTTATCTTTTTTTTTTCCTTTTCAACTCTCATACTTTAAGCATCGCTGTCACCATTCCCAAACACATGCAGCACAGAACCGTAACACACAGGCGCAGTACACGAGGTCACATATCACATTAACACTTCCGATTCTGGAACGCGCGAATATGCAATTACCTCAAAGAGTTATAATTTTTTAAAGATCGTGATTTTTATCTGCCACAGATTAAAAAACATTATGTATCCCTGTGTCTCCACAATTTATTCATTATTTCATGGTCCCAATTTCTATCAGGAGGGTCAGGAATAAAGGTACTCACTCGTTCAACAAGTACTTAAGGGAGGGCATGCCATGAGTTAGGGATCTACTGAGCTGGAAGTTGGGGTTTAATAGTGAGCACTACAGACACACTCCTTACCCTCCTAAGCTGCTGGTCTAGAATAGGACGAAAATCCACAATCACGCATGTAATTCAGTTAGAAGACGGAGGACATATATTCTTCCAACTAAGACCGGCAACAGCCTGTTTTCAATAGGTAGAAACCAGTCCATTAGAAAGGCTTGCTAAATCTTCCTGTTTAATGATTAAGATCTAAAGAGTTGAGATTTTAAAAACATGTAAAATAAGAACAGGTTAACAGGAAATATATAAATATATATCTTCAAGGAACTGATAAAAATTTCAGCACGAATATCTGTAACTAAAAGCAGGAATTCAAAGTCACTTGTTGTATACAGTCTTAAGGACACATTAATATTAAATACTGTGACCTGTGTACTACAAATACAAAAATTTAGCTAATATTCATAAATGGTAGTCAGTTAAAGTAAATGTAATGTACTATATATGCACAAAGCATATGAAAACTTAAAACCAAGTTAAAAGAAGTTATTCGCTCACATATAGATGTAGAATACAAAGTTTTCCTTGAGGTGTCAAGGAAAAATACTTATGTAAGTAAATTCAGAGAACGAATATGGTAAAGAAAACAAGAATTCATTATTAAATATGGTTATTTTACAGTGGTAAGTTTCTGGGTTCATTTTAAAAAAAGAATAAAAATCAAAACATATTAATACTATATTATTTGGAATACACCAGCATAATTGCTGTATGTGTATCAAAACAGCCCACATTTCACTGCTATACTTTTATCTAGGCAGGTGACGACTATTTTCTCTCTCTTGTCTCTTCATATTAGTAATATATAAAATAAATGGTGAACATATGCAAAGGTCCCCCACCACGTAAATCCATTTCCACTACATGACGTCATGCCTTGAACTAAAATTCAGTTTGAAAATAATTTCACACTGAATATGTCATTTAAATATAAAAGTGACCCCTCCATTTAAATAATGTAGTTAAAAATATTGATAAATCTTGACACTGTGAAAGGATAAATCCTAGAACCTCCTTCGGACAGATGGGAACAGGAAGATGCAGTGAACTCATCCAAGCAGCCGATGGGAGAGCAGTTCTTCAAAGAGAAGTCCTCCCCAACACCTTTCCTGGTTCAAATCAACCATCATTTTTCTCCTGGATTCAAAAAACTGTGAAATCCCATGCACACACACACACACACATGCACACATCTACATTTAGTAGAGAACATTTACTGTAGAGGTAGTATAGGTATCAAACTCATTATGCTACAAAAGCAACATCTCTAGGACAGGAAACTGTAACAATTCTTACCTGATGCCTAGGGGTAGTGTTTCTAACAAAGAGCTGTTCAAATTTTTAAATGTTACTAATGAAGGTAGTGCTAAATTAATTCCATATCTTCCCACCACTCCTAATGGGCTCTATTTGGGGGCTGGGGTGAGGCTTATTAAACCCCACTCAAATAATCTAATAAGAGAAAAAGTTCTCTATTACTACCACTTCAGCAGGAAAACTGTTTCACTTTTTTGCTCATAAAATCATCTCCCCGAGTGTATTTTTAAAGCACTGTATGTTACTGAAATACACAGTACATAATTAAACGTTCATTTATGTGTATTTGCCTAAAAATCTTCCTCCTAGACATTCAGACTGAGGCCTTCAAACAGACAAACCCCCGGGGTTCTAACTCCTAGCTCCTGGGAACCTCGAGCTGTCACATTTCAGACAACAGGGATGTCTTGAGATCTCAAATGCTGTATTCACAGCTAACCATAAACAATGACTGTAAACAGGGTAAAAGAGAGCCTATTCTTTAGTCTCTCTAAAACACATCCTTTTCCTTTATCTGTACTTAGACACTCTATGCCTATTTCTCTTCCCCTCTCTTTTTTTCTCAATCTTGAGAATTCGCAACATGTTCAATTACACATGATTCAGCCCTTAGAAGTAGCCCAAAATGAGAATAAAAACATTTTTTTTTTAAATATTCTTTTTCCAATTGCAGTTTTCCCCTCCCCTGGCTTCATTCCCTAAAGCCCACCTCTTTTACCCAGCGCTTTGCCTTCTGTTCCTTATAAGCATGTGCACATTTATCTAATCTGGTTTCAAGATGAAGACATAAAGCATGGCATGCGAGTTAACCATTTGTAACTATTTGCGATCATTATATTTTGTTCCCTCTTGTAAATGATCCAGTAGATAAGCAGTTCAGTCCCAAAGGCAACTGGTTCCTTAAACCAGGAGATGAAATGCTCAAGAAAGAAACTGCATGCTTCCTAAATCTGAATTGACAATACAATATTTCTCTCTTTCAGACATGTCTGGGAAACATATTTATTATACACACAAATATCTTGAACACAAGTGCAGACATTTTTCAGGCCTGTTACCACAAAGCTGGTTGCTCTCCCTACCACCATAGCTCAGAGTTATGTCACGCTGACTCCTATGTGCACCCTGATCCTTGATTCTGAACATTCTCTCAAAGATAATTATCAATAGAATTCCTATTTGAGAAATGGCATTTTCTTGGTAACTTAGTGTGAAGGCAGAATGTTGGGTTGTTTTTTTTTTAAGAGATTAAAGGGAAATTTTTGCTATACACTTCCCGTTTTCTTTCCAGTCCAGATCCCAAAGATATTAAAATGCTGTCCGTTTTAAACAAAAGGTTTCTATTTGCTGCCGTGAGAGTAATTGAGAGGCTGCACTGGTTTTCAGTAGTAACTATTGTGAATTCAGGCCTACATCTGGGTTGCCTCATTAAACAAAAGAAACCGGTCGCTGTCAACAACCACACAGCACAACCCTCCCGTATCCCTCCTATCTGGAAGGAATGGTGCAGACGAGAAACAAGCCTGCCACCATCCACTGGTAAAGAAACTCTTCTGGGTCCCTCCTTTCGGTGGTCTGGTGGCTAGAGAAAGCACTTATGTGACACATTTGAGCTTGCTTGACTGCCACCTGAATACATAACCCCCCTTTCTTTGGAGGGCCAACCACTCGACTCCCTCATCATCACTCCTTGGGGAATCCAGTCGCGAGCCTGCCCACCCGACCACCATTCCCTCCTGACCCCAGAAAGAACTGACAATGGATTCACACCAGCCACCCCACCGCACGCCGTCCCCCAACATGCCCCGGCACGGCTCGTCACCCTCGGGCCACAGACACACAGACACACACACATACACGGCTCCCCTCTCCAACACGGGGCGTCAGGGCCAAGACACTGGAAGTTCAACGCCGCTGCCCACCTTCCCACCCCCGCGCCTCTCCCTCGAAGTGATTTGCCATTTAGCAGATGCATAGCACATAAACGCACTCCCCGAAGGCACAGCCCTCGGGGATACCAAAAGGCACCAGCCGAGGCCCGGGGCAAGGCAGCTGCGACCCCTCCGCGCGTGTATGTGTGCGCGCGTGTGTGCGCGCACGCGCGCGTGTTACGCGCCCGCGCGCTCGCGCGGGTGCAGGTAGTGGCCGGGGGCGCGCCCGCCGAGGGTCGGGGCGAGCCGTGGGCGCCCGGGGGCGGGGGCCGCGGAGGGTAGCGGCCCCGGGGGCCCGGGGGCGACGGGCGGGGGCCGTAGGGGCCCGGCGGGAGGGCCCACGGCGGCCGGCCCCGGGCTGTACTCACCAAGCAGCAGCAGCTTGAGCTCCCGGCGGGCGTCCCGCTTGTCCCTGCGGAGCTGCCGCTCGATCTCGTCGTTGATCCGCCGAGCTTCCTTGGCCTCCTCGCTCAGGCAGCACGCCATGATGGACTCCAGAGTCATTCTTCCAAAGTGCCTCCGCTGCAGCCCCGCCGGCACCCCCTGCTCACACGCGCGCACACACACCCTCCCGCCCTCGCTCCCCCGAGGCAGCGGTGGCCGCTGAGCCCCCGCCGCCCGGGCGCGCGTCCGGGACGAGCTCGGGGAACGGCCGCGGGGGCCGCGGCCAGGGCCGGGGCCACCAGGTGGGCCGGGGGTGCGGCGGGAGCGGGCGGCTCGGGGCGCCGGGAGGAGCGAGGCGGGCGCGGGAGGCGGCCGCGGGCGCTGGCTCGGGGGGCGCGCGAGGGAAGGCCGCCGCGCCCGGCCTCGCTCAGACGCCCGCGCCTCCTTCCCTGGGAACGGGCGGCCCGCCTCGCCCCCCGCGCCGCCGCCGCTGCCGCCGCCGAGGTTCCCCTAAGCCCTGCGCCGGGCGGCGAGAGCACATCCACCGGGGCGTCCCCTCAGCGAGCGGCCGCCGACGGCTCCCCGCGCCCGGCGCGCCCGCTCCTCGCCGCCGCCTGACACGGCTCCTGGGCGCCCTGGGCCCTGCCCGCGCCCACCGCCCGGCTCGCGCGCAAACCCCGCTCGCCGGCCCGCCCGCCGCGCGCTCCGCCGCCTCCGCCTCCGCTCCGCCTCCGCCAGACGCCCACCCCCGGCCCCGATTGCCAGGAGCCGAGCGGCTGCTCAGTGCGCGCCCTCCCCCTCGCCACACACACACATTTTCTTCTTTCTCTGAACTGGAGCACAGATCCGGGAGGGAGGCGGCGGCGGCGGCGGCGGCGGCGGCGGCGGCGGCGGCGGCGGCGGGAGGAGGAGGGGAGGCGGAGGGAGGGAAGGGGGGGAGCGGGAGGCGGTGCCGCCCGGCCCCTCCTGGAAGGCTTTCCTGGACTCGCAGCCGCCGCGGCGCGCCTCCCTGTGCGGCTCTGGACTCGCCTGCCGCTCCCTGGCTGGGCCGGCCCCTCGGGCTCTGCGGGCGCCTCCCGCTCCCGCGCCCTGGTGGGGGCCCGCGGGTGCAGCGGTCACGGCAGCCCCCGGCGAGGGGCTGGCCCGGGGCCGCCGCCAACCTGCGGCTGCCCGCCGGCCGCCCGGGCGTGGTGGAGCAGGAATATGGCGGCCTCGGCGGAGGCGCGGGATGCGGCCCCGCCGGCCCCCAGCCCCGGCCGGTTCCGCGAACCCTCGGGGCGCCTGGCGGCCGGCGGCCACCGCGCTCGTGTCCCCAGCTCCCGGGCCGCGCAGGTGGGCGCCCTGGGGCCGCCTCTCGGCCACTTCGGTGTTCCCGTCCCTGTTTCTAAAACGCCATTCGGTTAGAAAAGTTATCTCGCGTCACCTCTGACCCCCATTCAGTTTTGGGACATAGGATAGACTCAGTCGTGCAGTGAGACTGAGGAAGAGGAGGAACTGTCACCGGTTCCCAGAGGGACCGGGGGGGGGGGGTGTTAATAGGCGAAACTGTCCACAAAGTTACGGGAGATAGAAATCTAAATCCTGAGCTGCAAAACGAAGCTGTCCAAGTTTCCAGGAGCCTCCTGATGGCTTCCAGTTTTTCATGCCATTGAGGTGATTTCTGTTTTGTTACAGGCTCCTCTCTGGCCTTTGAAAAGGCACACGATGTTTAACAGCCAAGTAATCAAATTTATTCTTCTGGCCCGAAATTGAATTATGGTCGACTTACGGGAAAATGCAAAATAATGTGGAAGAAGGAAAGTATAAAATAGGGGGAAGAGGGGGGAAAAAAGATTGCCCCGGCAAAATCCCCTTCTAGAGTCCACTTTCAATTGAGGCACTTTACTTTAAAATGTGTGCTTATTTTGTTGTCCTACTCGACTGATAAATGGTCACAAAAATCTCCTTGCACAATCAGGTTTTAGTCGGTCTCATAACTGCAAGAGGTGAAACTCAGATTACCTCCTGCTTTAATGAAAACTGCGGCCTCGAGAGTAAACTGTATTTGTGAAAGGAATCCCTTTTCCACGTTTTCTGCTTTCTGAGATGTTTCTGGAGCAACCTGGTCACCCGAGTGTAAAGTAAGGTCATGACTACTGTGGCTACAGGTCAAGAATGTACATGGGCTCCTTGGATGACAGGTGTGTGACTGCCTTCTTTCATGACACACACACACACCAGGACTTAGATCACACAAGTCATGGAGATGTTAGATCTATACTTTAGCTCCCTGTTTAAAAGAATATCTGGACTTAAAAAATGATTACGTTTCACATAGGCCAGGAAAGCAGAGAAAACAAACCTCACCACCTTTCTATGAACCTCTACGTAAAGCCACTAGACTTTCTGTGACATTAAAATTTAAAGTTAAGTGACTAATGAAATTAAAGATGGAAATTCAATATGCAGAAATTTTAGATGGCTTCAGGGGAAACATTTAATCATAAGTATGTGTGTGTGTGTGTGTGTGTGTGTATATATATATATATATATATATATATATATATCAGAGAGATATTAAACACCAAAAAATCAAATGACAGAAAGCTTCAAGTCTCTGGTTCCCTAGCCAAGGACTCTGAGATTTTTGAAAATGCCTCTCAAACTCTACTATCAAGCTATCAGGTAATCCATTTTGACTGAATTGACACAACTTTTGATGAAAGAAATTACACTGTTTGAACACATTGTAGGTACAATCAAAATCTGTTTTGTTACCCCTGAATCCCCAGATTCAGAGATACGCCTTGGCACTTAGCAGATATTTGAATGGATAAAATAAATCAATAGGAGGATATTTCTTCAAATATTGGAAAGAAATCCGGAAGTAAGGCAAGACTCGACAGTGACGAAGCCATATATAGATGACAAGAAGGAAACAGGAAAAGAAAATTCAAAATCGGAGCCCAGATCTATCCAGAAACCTTTGCATATTTATCTGGAAAGCATTTGCCAAGCAAATATTCATACAACCTAAGTCAAGCAAACAAAATCCATGTAGAAACTCCTGAAGTTATTGCCATATATTGGAAGTAAATACTCTAAAATATGTAACTAAACTTGGATCATATTACAAAGTCCCAGCTCATTAAATTATCACCTATTCACTGCCTACTATGTGTAAATAAGGAGAAAGTGCAGGAAGTAAGAGATCTGAAGGTGAACGCAATATGGTCCTTGCCTTCCATAGGCGTACAGTTTTAAGGCATGAGGCTCTGAACAGCCATAATAAAAGACAAAATGAAACCAATTTGTATTAAAATTGGGATAGACATACCAGTAACAAAGGTATAAAACGGCAGGAATAATTCATTCTGTTAGAACTGGAGGACATTCACAGGAAAAGGATGTATCTTACAGAATGAACAGGTTTTCAATAAATACGTATCTACAGCACTTAAAGTAATTCAGCATTTCCAAATCACTCCCAGACAGTGAGATGATAAACCATTTTGAGAATTCAAGGGCAGTTACTAGATGGCTGGGGGAAAAAATAATAATAAAAAATAAAAACAAAACACAACCCTAGGGGCATGGAATGCCAGAGGAAGATGTGACAACTGTCACCTTTTTCATGGTATCCTGACATGGATACCTGCCCCATGTTCTGGCCCCCCTCTTCTGTGGGGACTGGAAAAGAAAAGCAGTCGAAGGCATAGTTCAGTCTCCAGGAGTGATCCTAGAATAATAGAGTGAAAGGCTGAGTTCTGTAAAGGGAGCTCCTGGGGAGGGAAAAGCCTGCACTGCTCCTCTTCCCAGAGTCACTTAGTGTCCCTGTAATGGTCTAGTTCTCTCTTGCGCGTGCGCGTGTGCGCTCTTTCTCCCAACGTTAGAGCTACTTGAGAGCAGGGATCTTGTCTTTCATAACTGTTTTCAGGGCACCCAAAAGAGTGCCCAGCCTGGGGCGCCTGGGTGGCTCAGTTGCTTAAGCAACTGCCTTCGGCTCAGGTCATGATCCTGGAGCCCCGGAATCGAGTCCCACATCAGGCTCCCAGCTCCACCTTCTCTCCTCTCATGCTCTCTCTCACTGTCTCCTTCTCAAATAAATAAATAAAATCTTTGGGGGAAAAAAAAAAAAAGAGTGCCCAGCCTGGAACAGATACCCAGTAAGTGATGAATAAACAAAAGAAAACCAGAACCTACCTCAACAACAAACACACTAGAAGACTACTTGTCCCAGGCAGTGTGTTATGCCAGATGCCCGCGGCATACAAAGCTCTTCAAAGCTTAATAATCTGTTTGGGCAGACAGTCCACATGCACAAAAGAATAAATAAGAGTGCAACATGAGAAGCACTCATTGCTAACCTACAGCACAGAGAATGGACTACTACAGGAGTTCAGAAGGAGCATGGGTAGGCAAATGACGGTCACCTGGAAGACCCATTAGAAGTCAGCGTGAAGCGCTGCAGATCCTACAAGAGCTGGGAAAGAGCTGTTCCGTGCAGAGCTTGCTGGCACCGCTGTCTAGCAAGGAATAAAGTAGCCTTGCTAGTTAGTTAGTGGGAAGGCTGGCAAGCAGGCCCAGGGAGACTCAGAGAGCTGCAAATGGCGCCACCTAGAGGAAAGTTCTCATAACGGCAGAAAGGATTCTTTGTTGCCCGAAAGATGGTTTCAGGGCCAACATGCTGAAGATGGAAAACCAGACATGAAACAGAATACCTTCTCCTGAAAGAGAAAATACCCAAACTTCAGAGCCACCAAACAGACACTCTAGATGAAGCCGACTACCTCGGGGACATCTTGCCATCACCACCCTTTCTGATGCACCCAAGTGATCCTCTTACTATTCAAATGTTATCGATTTTGTGCTTTCCCAAGGTTAGCATTATCAGGGGAAACACTGTACCTTACAGTGTAAAGGCCACCGAGTCCCACGAGACTGGAAGGTCCTAAAAGGCTGACCAGATGGAAGCTGTGTTTAAGCTGAGCACACCAGAGAAGCCGTTTACTAATGTTTGATGAATGAGTGAATGAGACCATGTAGTGAGACCTCAAATCACGATCCCAATATTTCTGGCACCCAAACGGTCAAGGATGACTTCGCTAGTATAGGTGTTTCCCTCCTGCTTTGGAGTTACTACAAGTTGGAGCCACCTGTCTCCCAAAGGCC